TTCTGCACTTGCACCGACTCACTTGACAGGGGTCCACTGAAAACAAGGCCTGGCCCCTATGAACGCGATCAGGCGAATGTCGCTTGGCGCGTATTAAAGGTTAGACCCCCACTACCACACCTGCGCGGTGCGAGCGTACTGCGGTGTACAGTCACGTAAGGGAAAGATTTTTCCTGATACTTTTTATACGGACCTTGTATGTTGCCAAATCCAATTTTGGATAAAGTTGCAAATGAACAACAGATCATTCACATGAACTGCAAGCATTCCTGTGCCCAACTTAAAAGCATCATCCTGTTCCTTATTTAAGAACTGTGTTCTGTACTAGGTCCAGAGATATGGATTAGTTCTTTTGATTGGGCCCAACAGAGTAGGCATTTACATGAGGACGGAGTCGTAGTCAAATTTCTAAAACGGTTTTTTATTTTTGTAAAAAGCAGGGTAAGCGATAATGTCCAAAAAGTAAGTAATTGTATGAAGTGTGCAGGTGTCCAGATTGACATAACCTTCCCAGTATGCATTCATTCATACAAAAAGCACATAAAATATATGAAATAAAATGCTCTTGTATTTGGGCTCAAACTGCCAAGTTTTAACAACTGGAACACAAAGCGAATAATCTTTTTTAAACTTGTACTTGGTTCAATTGTATCAACAACAATTACAACAATTACACTCTTATTTTAGTATATCAACTAGAATGGTGTTGTGATCCAATTGAAGCACACTTGTAGTGTAAATTATGGTAACAGACTTTGGCTCGTTCAGCATAAATGCCCAGACTGTGATGCTAACACTGACTTTAACATATTACTTATGTCACGAATGCCCCAGTTCTCCTGTTCACTTTCATTTTACACACATACAAGTGATATCTTCCCTTCACTTTTCCAGCTAAAATTTCTGTGCATTTCTCTTCCCTTGTATGTATAATATGTGACCCACATCTCTGAGGTTTTTTTTTTTTTATTTCCATAACAGTATTGATGAAGAATACAGACTATGAAGCTCCTGATTGGGCACTCTCATTAGGTTCAAATGCTGTATGCACCATCCTGTTCTGACAGTCTATGTTATTCTCTTATGGGTGAGAGACCAAATTTTACACCCATTTGAAAACTGTAAAATTCAAGCTGTCTGTATTTTAATAAAGGATTCTGAACTGAATAGTAACATTTATGCCATGAGTTCAACCTGCTGTTAATTTCTTCATGAATAATGTAAAACTAGTATTATGTAATAATGTAGCACTGTGCAGTTCCTTGTGGACAAAGTGACGCTCGTAAATTTTTCTGTGTGTAATTTGATTTTCCTTTGCCAGCCTTTTGGCTGCTGAAAATTTCTAAAAACTTTGTTGACTAGTAACAAAATTCATTACAGTGTGTTTACCTAGCAAACTGTCTGGGAGTGCATTTTGTGAACTTTTAAGTGCAGATATTTAAATAATCAGTGTACTAAGATATCAGTTCACAATATTTACAGTGATCCACATAGTCCCAAGGAACAGAACCAGTTCACCTCTGAGGAAATAGATGCAATGAGAGCACTGCTAAAGCAGCCGCAACAGCACCAAGATAAGTAAGTTAATCAGAATGTTACCATATGTTATGTCTAATGAGAATTACTGGTTTTGCAGTACTGTTGTTATTCTGAAATGAAATGCTGGTAGCTTGCTGCCAGTAGAAAGGGTTCATTCATTCATTCATTCATTCATTCATTGGAGGGGGTGTGTTTCCCGATGCACTGCGACCAGTTGTTGATCTATTGTACGTCCCCCTTTGATATTCTAGCAGTCGCCATACACTTCTGGTACTAGTGCTCCCTATCAGCCCCGTTCAGCCAGTGAGTTTGGCCCCTCTACTAGCAGTGGTGCCCGATACTTCCCCATCTACCGTAGGCATTGGAAACTACTTGGGCGGGAAACTTTTTTCCTAATTTTGCTCATAGGTCTCCTAGAATCATGAGGATCTTTTATGTACCGTAAATCTACCACACGGTTCCCATGGCTTAAAAGTCCCTCCCGGAGGACTTGTGCCATGATTTTTCCGCCCTTAAAAATTCCACAACCTCCTCCAGGTTTGAACCTGCGTACCTTGAGTCATGAGGTGGGAACGTTACCCCTAGACTACGGAGGCCGCTAGTGGAAAGGGTTACTACATAAAATAAAACAATGGCCCCATTTCAGTATTAGAGAAACAGTAAATTTTTCTTTTCCTTAGTGGTGTTCACATTTCACACCACAGGCCAGAATAGCCTTGCCCACACATGGTCCCACCAGGTTTACCTTCCACCTGTGATAGTGTGTAAGGTTTCATGAAAAGATTCAGGAACTGATTTTTCAGGAGTGAAACTAAACTCAAAACTGTAATCATATGTATCTCTTTCATAGTATGTTCAACCTACAGTACTTGAACATGGTATCATAGCTATCTTGCCTTTGTTGACACATTCCCAGTACTTTTCTGAGAGGATTTTGGATTCCTGTGTCACACTTCAAATAATTGTTAACAATTCCACAAATGTCTTCCATTTAGGATACATTTCAATCTGTGAATCACCAAAAGATCACCATGTTTCAAATATGAAGTGTGCAGGACCAGGAGATGTTCATTCCTGATGAAGAGTTTCTGCAATGTGTTACAAGTGAACTATGAAATCAGTTTTGCCAAGAGTCACCTCAGGTTTAAAATCATGTCTTTACCGCAGATGTGAAGTTCTAGCATAGATACATAAATTGTCATCCTAACATCTTCATAAAATTTGTATTGAAAGTAACGACTGATTTCGTGATTGTAAAGGGGTGACTGAACTGTGCATCAGCCTTGTACAGAAGTTTGGATGTATTTTACATACATAAGTCCCAACAGCTGAGAGTTTCATCTGCAAATGCAGCTTGTAGCATTTTAAGTGTGTTGCTCTTACCCCACAGATTAATGCAGAATTTTGAAGAACAGACATGCTCCTTCATGTGAGACGATTAACATAATAATGCCTTTCCTTTTCTAACCTCTGACAAGATAAATTCTTTGTAAACATTATAAATGCTAGGCTTCAGTATGGTTCAGAAACCACATGAAACTGTAGGACCTTTCTGTCAGTCATCGTTTTCAGTGTCATCCTATCTTCAGGAGCAAATGCAGACCCCACCATTTCTGTGGTGTCAGCAGAAATGTGGCTCTCTACTTTCACCCTAGATAGACTGTGAGAGGCCAGAATATTAAAAGACCAGGTCTAGAGTTACAAGCTGCAGCAGTGTAGTTACAGATTGTGTGCATATCAGATGTGTTTTCACTGCAGATGACAGTGACCCAGTATTGCATTCCATGTACATGGGTAAACTTGTCATTTGTTCGTTTAATTAAGATCTTTATAATAGTATGTATTAAGGATTTTTTTTTATCACAGGAAGACAGCCTCAACACCGTTGGTTGTAAACCCAAGTAAGAAGGAGAAGAAACAGGAGAAGAAACCTGAAGGTCCAATAGGCCTGTGAGTACACTTACTTTCCTAATCATGATGATGACTTTGGAACAAGATCAGTAAAGTTATATTGTTTAGTGCAACTCAAAGTGCATACTGTTTGAATTTTGCTTCATCTGAATGTACAAAAATGTTAGAGTTTAGGCAAACAATAATTTAACAAGGTACAAGTTATTAGATATCTGATGCAGTACATACAGTCTGGAGAAATTGTGTGGGGATTTTAGAATAATGGTGGTAAAATGACATTTAATTGTGCTTTTATGTGGGTATTGTGAAGTATGTTACTCCTAGCTGTAAGCAGAATGCGGTAGTTTATGAGCAGGGTCTATGGTGATAGAACACAATGTATTTTACTGCCAGAAACAAAGCCTGTAAACATCTTGTCCGAAACGCTGATATCTACTGAAGACAGAGTGATAATTTATTTAGGTGCATTCAGAACTTCTCAGAGCGTGTTAAGTCTGCTCTTCCTGCATATAATTATCAAATGGATTTTAACAACATATGTTGCCAAGTCCAATTTTGGATAAAGTTGCTAATGAACAACACAGATCATTCACATGAACTGCCAGCATTTCTGTGCCCAACTTAAAAGCATCATCCTGTTCCTTATTTAAAAACAGTGTTCTGTACTAGGTCTGGAGATATGGATTAGTTCTTTTGGTTGGGCCCAACAGAGTAGGCATTTACATGAGGACCGAGACGGAGTCAAATTTCTAAAATTGTTTTTTCTTTTTGTAAAAAGCAGGGTAAGCGATAATGTCCAAAAAGTAAGTAATTGTATGCACTGTGCAGGTGTCCAGATTGACATAACCTTCCCAGTATGCATTCATTCATACAAAAAGCACATAAAATATATGAAATAAAATGCTCTTGTATTTGGGCTCAAACTGCCAAGTTTTAACAACTGGAACACAAAGCGAATAATCTTTTTTAAACTTGTACTTGGTTCAATTGTATCAACAACAATTACAACAATTACACTCTTATTTTAGTATATCAACTAGAATGGTGTTGTGATCCAATTGAAGCACACTTGTAGTGTAAATTATGGTAACAGACTTTGGCTCGTTCAGCATAAATGCCCAGACTGTGATGCTAACACTGACTTTAACATATTACTTATGTCACGAATGCCCCAGTTCTCCTGTTCACTTTCATTTTACACACATACAAGTGATATCTTCCCTTCACTTTTCCAGCTAAAATTTCTGTGCATTTCTCTTCCCTTGTATGTATAATATGTGACCCACATCTCTGAGGNCGCGTAATTCATTCAATTACCTTCGACGAACTGCAGAGAGTGTTGCGTAATTTATTTGTGATATGCGCGGCATGTTTGCAAGCAGAAGGAGGTCACTTTCGGCACCTGTTATAAACCACGGTAAGTTATCTTTTTACTGTATTCTTATAAATGTGTGCATGTATAGCAACTGATGGACGGAGACTCAGCGACACCACTACGCTCACGCTATCGGGGAACAGCACTGCAGTCGCGGAGAGGAGTTGCATCCGTTCTGCGGTGGTATGACTCACGGCAAATTGCAGCCGCGGCGCACACTTGATTGTACGCACTGTACAAAAAGCACATAAAATATATGAAATAAAATGCACTTGTGTTTGGGCTCAAACTGCCAAGTTTTAACAACTGGAACACAAAGCGAATAATCTTTTTTAAACTTGTACTTGGTTCAATTGTATCAACAACAATTACAACAATTACACTCTTATTTTAGTATATCAACTAGAATGGTGGTGTGATCCAGTTGAAGCACCCTTGTAGTGTAAATTCTGGAAACAGTCATTGGCCTGTATAGCATAGATCCCAGAATGTGATGCTAACACTAACTTTAACATATTACTTATGTCACGAATGCCCCAATTCTCCTGTTCACATTTATGTTACACACATACAAGTGATATCTTCCCTTCACTTTTCCAACTAAAATTTCTGTGCATTTCTCTTCCCTCATATCTATACTATGTGACCCACATCTCTGAGGTTTTTTTATTTTTGATATCCGTTACAGTATTGATGAAGAATACAAATTATGCAGCTCTTCATTATGCACTCTCATTAGGTTCAAATAGTGTATGCACCATCCTGTTCTGACAATCTATGTTATTCTCTTATGGGTGAGAGACCAAGATTTACACCCATTTGAAAACTGTAAAATTCAAGCTGTCTGTATTTCAGTAAAGGATTCTGAACTGAATAGTAACATTTATGCCCTGAGTAGTTCAACCTGCTGTTAATATCTCCATGAATAATGTAAAACTGGTAGTATGTAATAATGTAGCACTGTGCAGTTCCTTGTGGACAAAATGACACTGGTAAATTTTTCTCTGTGTACTTTGTTTTTCCTTTGCCATCCTTTCGGCTGCTGAAAATTTCTTAAAACTTTGTTTACTGGTAACAAAATTCATTACGGTGGGTTTACCTTGCAAACTGTCTGGGAGTGCATTTTGTGAACTTTTAAGTGTAGATATGTAAATAATCAAGAGTACTAAGATATCAGTTCACAATATTTACAGTGATCCACATAGTCTTAAGGAACAGAACCAATACACTCCTGAGGAAATGGATGCAATCAGAGCACTGCTAAAGCAGCCGCAACAGCACCAAGATAAGTAAGTTAATCAGAATGTTACCATATGGTATGTCTAATGAGAATTACTGGTTTTGCAGTACTGTTTTTATTTTAAAATTAAGTGCTGTTACCTTGCTGCCCGTGGAAAGGGTTAGTTCATAAAATAAAACGATGGGCACATTTCAGTATTAGATAAACAGTAAATTTTTGTTTTCCCTAGTGGTGTTCACATTTCACACCACAGGCCAGAATAGCCTTGCCCACTCATGGTCCCACCAGTTTTACCTTCCACCTGTGATACTGTATAAGGTTTCATGAAAAGATTCAGGAACTGATTTTTCAGGAGTGAAACTAAACTCAAAACTGTAATCATATGTATCTCTTTCATGGTATGTTCAACCTGTTGTACTTGAACATGGTATCATAGCTATCTTGCCTTTGTTGACACATTTCTAGTACTTTTTTTGAGAGGATCTTGGATTCCTGTGTCACACTTCAAATAACTGGTAACAACAGCCGAGAGTTTCATCTGCAAATGAAGTTTCTAGCATTTCAAGTTTGTTGCTCTTACCCCACAGATTAATGCAGAATTTTTAAGAACAGACATGCTCCTTCATATGAGACAGTTAACATGATAATGCTTTTCTTTTTCTAACGTCTGACAAAATAAATTCTTTGTAAACATTAGAAATGCTAGGCTTCAGAATGGTTCAGAAACCACATGAAACTGTAGGACCCTTCTGCCAGTCATTGTCTTCAGTGTCATCCTATCTTCAGGAGCAAAATGAGGACCCACCATTTCAGTGCTGTCACCAGAAATGTGGCTCTCTACTTTCACCCTAGCTAGACAGTGAGAGGCCAGAATATTAAAATCTGCAGCAATGTAGTTGCAGATGTGTGTTCACTGCAGATGACAGTGACCCAGTATTGCGTTCCATGTACATGGGTCAAGTTGTCATTTGAATGTTTATAGAAGATCTGTATTATAGTATGTATTAAGGATTTTTTTTTTTCACAGGAAGACAGCCTCAACTCCCTTGGTTGTAAACCCAAGTAAGAAGGAGAAGAAACAGGAGAAGAAACCTGAAGGTCCAATAGGCCTGTGAGTACACTTACTTACTTAATCATGATGATGACTTTGGAACAGGATCAGCAAAGTTATAATGTTTAGTGCAACTCGAAGTGCATACTGTTTGAATTTTGCTTCATCTGAATATACAAAAACATTAGAGTTTAGGCAAACAATAATTTAACCTTTAAACGCCGTACTTCTGAAATGATGGTAAGCGTGAGCTGGCTGGAGTTTATTTAAATGCCCGCTGCTACTCTGCGTTTAAATGTCCGTTCCTGTTAGGCCGCTAATGAATTTTAAGCATTGTGTTTAAAAATGTTGTATCTAACACAATTTTTATGATAAATGGATGGAATTAACTTTGTTCGTATCAGCAAAGTACATAGTGTCGCATATTATAACGGAAACTTTGAAAATTTTTATACATAGAGTTATACTCAATTTACAATTTTTCTTTTAATTTTGATGCATACTGCAAAAATTGTTTCCCAGTTCTTCACCGACTTGTTCTGCATTATAAATTCAGTTCTGTTTGTAACACTTGACAAATTTAGCAGTCCCTGGAGTCATAAAACGGATGGAAGCACTAAAATCGTGTGGTCTTCTGCTAACACTGCTTACACTCTTCGGATATTCGAATCTTTTGACTAAAGGACAGAAGAATGAAAGAATGGCTATTCAAGAGAAAGCTAGAGGGGTCCCTTCTTAAGTGCTAAGACCTTTCGTTATTGCTGCAGGAGATTGTTGCCCTTTCTAGGGTCGTGAACAGACAGTTTGCATCGTGGTTGAGATACAGAGTGTGATCCATTTTCTGTGCGTTCATAGTGAAATCGAATACTGTAGTTTCATTTCAGCCTATATATACATCAAGCAGATCACAAAAGATGTGTACATCGAAACTTTACTATATATTTTTAACACATTTATCTGGAGAATCTGCAATAAAAGTACTGGCTCGTGGATGAGTTTGGGCATAACTCACACATGTATTCTTCTTTGCTGTTGTTCATTTAGGTATCCATTTAATTCCTCTATTATGGTTTTACACAAGTCTGTCTGGTAATTACTACATTTAAAAATAAATATTAAGGACTGTGCATGCGCTTCCACTTTTTTTCCTTGGCACTACAGTCCCAGTGGGCCTAGGCTTAGGCCTACATATTCGATAGGCCTCCTTGGGCAGGTGATCAGGTTGTCACAAGGCCTCTACCTATACACAAACGCAGAAAAACGCACACATACAAACTAAACATCCATGCCCTGACTGGGATTCGAACCCACGATCCCGGTTTCCAAGCGAGTGAAGACAGTACATGCCTTAGACCGGGATGCGCTTCTACTAGCGAAGTTTAAATTCTGGACTGTCCAATACGGGATACTTCGGCCATGATGATCATAGTCATTACTGGCTAGATCGGGGCATTTCGGCTGTTACAGATCAATCACTTGGGACCAACCTAAAACAGCGCAGAGTAAAACCTGAAAACTGGAGACTGTAACCTCATAGGAAGTCACTGAATGTCAGCCCAGCCTGCCTATCGCTCATCTATTTAAGCACTTCAGACCAAGCTAAATCAGCGTGAGTTAAGAAGAAGAAATGAAATAAAAACTTACCGCCATCTGTGGAATAAAACCTGAACACTCGAGACTAAAACCTCATGGAAAGCTATGAAGTGTCAGCCCAACCTTGATATCATGCAGCTATTTAAGCAGTTAGGACCAAGCTAAATCTGCATGAGCGAGCAAGAAAAAATGAAATAATGCTTAGCGCCATCTGTGGAGTAAAACCTGAACACTCGAGACTAAAACCTCATGGAAAGCAACGTAGTGTCAGCCCAACCTTGATATCATGCAGCTACACATACACGCTTGAGCACAAAGCAGTTAATGTGACGTAACAAAACCGCATTTCCAAACTAGAAGAACACATAATTCTGGTAACGCTATACAATATTGTTGCTGGAGAAAACTGCATAATGAGGAGCTTCATAACTTGTACTCTTCTCCAAGTATAATTAGAATGATCAAGTCAAGGAGGATGAGGTGGGCATGTCATGTATTACAGCTATTTTTTAACCACGGAAAGTGCTATTAAACAGGACGAGCGTGGGCTCAACAGCCAGTCTTGATGATGAGAAATCCTATGTCATGTTCTGTGGGAATATACTGTGACATGTAAACCCACTGATAACAGCTGTTGCTAAGGAACAGCTATGTGGACATGCTGTTTCTCCAGGAATGAGAGAACACTGAATAATGGAGACATTTTCTCTCTGATCCAAGCCAGGGCTATATAATGAGGACTAGCAGTTCAGAATAAGTGCTGGGGCGGACTAGCAGCAATTTGGTAATCAGCCTGGACAGAGTGAGGATTTGTATATAGTGAAAAAGGAATAATTTTCAATGACATGCTATATGTGCATACCTACACTTGACCCAGGCCAAGCGCACACATGAGCGACAAAGTAATCTCATCAGAGAGGATGTTATATAAGGACCATGACCGCAAGGATTCTGTTGAGTCTCAAAGGGCTTGACATCAAAACAAAGTGACTGGTGGTAAACCGTCACTCATAAAGTAAATCTTAAAAGCTGATGGTTCAGTCAGTTGAGAACTGCAGTTGTGGGAAGTGAGAAGCTGGTAGCTGAGACCGTGGATAGTTCGGGAACCCAGAGGAAGTGGAAAATGTCTGCCATTGGAAGTTGTCACCAGGCAACGGCTAGTAAAGACAGAAGACTTTACATGTGCTGTAGTTACAGTGATCTTTGGAGCATGTAACTCAGTGAGACTGTCGTAGTTATTTTTAGTTACAAGTATAAGTGTCCAATAAATCCAATTACCAGTCCAAACCCTATGTCTGGTCACAAACACGTGACAATATCAAATCAAATGCTACCTGTCTGAGTTTGATAGTGTAGCAGTTTCAACACAGTTTAATAAAATATTTCTAACATATCAAGACACCTGAAGAAGGCCGTTTGGGGCCGAAACATGTAGTGTCAAGGTGTATAATGATAAACTAAAAATTGAATGGTGAATGGAAGAGTGTTGCAATATTGACGGATGATAAATAATGGACGTTAAGTTGAACAATTGCAACGGGATGCTGAAATACAGAATCATGAATATTATGAGATTTAAGATTCCCACAGAGCTGAATACCATGGAATCCCCATTTAACATGCCTCAATTTAACAGTTCCCTCATTTAACATTCAACTTCAACAATCCCATGTCAATAACCTCAGTGTTAAATTACCTCCATATAAGATTTACCCCAGTTCAGTGTTCAAACCCACTGCTCCCATAAGAAACCTTAAATGGGGGTTTCATAGTATTAAGATTATAGTCCTCTAGAACATGATGCTGTATAGTTTGGCAAATAAGTTTCAGCACATAGCTGTGATTTTATAGACAGGTACCTACATAATGAAGTTGTTTGGGGTACAGGTACCTATCGAACCACACAGCGTCACATGACAGAAGACTAATCTTAGGAATACATATTATTGTATTTAATGTGACTAGTACAGAGAAAAGTTGGGTATTCGATTATTTTATAGTGAAAAAGCTAAAAACTATTGTTGTTCTTTTCACTAAACAACTCTTAAAAATATAATCCCATTTAAAAGTTTATTGTAAGGAACAGTAAATCAAAGTGTGACAACATGTAAACAATATTCATACTTAACAGAGTGTTGCCAATATGACTGTAGTTAAGATTTAGTATTACGTACAAAATTTTACTTTACAATTAGATTGTGTTATGGGAGATGATATACCACAGTTGTTCACGTAATGAATATATTTTCATACATTTAAAAGCATAGAATCCTGTTTTAGCTAGGGTCCATGATTAGCCTAGACTGAATCTTGTATTCCAGTTAAAGTTACTGGGATGTAATATGGCTGCACTGGTGGGCATGTAGTTGTAGCCAGTAGTGTGGAATGTGTAGTTCTCACTAGTATTGTGGTATACTGTAATTACTTGTGTGCAATACTGCATTATGTTTGGAGATGCTACATGGATGATAGTAGCCCTCGAGACCGGGTTATATCCTGACATCAGAGAAATGGGATTTAGTGTAAGTCTGTCTGGGGACCTAGCTACCAGTGTACATCAGCAAAGCATAACCATTGACACACAAGTACTGGGACTGCATTCTTCATTTCACATTATCCATGTTTTTTTTTATTGCTAGTGGCGTGGGACTAAGTCCCTTGTACTGCAGACACTTCTGGCCTATTGTACCAGCCCCAGATGATATGTGAGGGTGATTATGGAGCAATTGGTGGAATGAAGATTGGCAGGGGAAACCGAAGTACTCTGAGAAAACCTGCCCCAGTGCCACTTTGTCCATCACAAATACCACTTGACCAGACCCGGGATCGAACCAGGGCCACCGCGGTGGGAAGCCAGCGACTAACCACTTGAGCTATGGCGTGACCCCATTATCCATGCTAAATGATGCTGATCATGACCAAATACATGACGAGAACACCTGATCTCCAGGTTCATCAGAATGGAAGGAGACATTTCTGTGAAACACTGGAAATTGATTGCACACTGACATGGGGGTTTGTCCAAAGAGGTTTTATTTGTAGGAATTGAGATTGGTTGCAGGTGGGCAGGAAGTTGAACACTTGAATCAGTGGTTTTGTTGCCTTCTGCTCCATACAGTCTTTCTGAACAAGTGTGGCAAGACATTGAATTATTTGTTTTTATGCATTTAACGAAATTTGGTAACAGCAATTCAGTCTAGTATCTCATGGATGTATGGTGCTGTTTGTTAAAATGTTTCTGTCCGGATATGCCTATGCATATCTTGGTGCCCAAGTTGTAATGACACTGACATGAAAGGTAAGTGAAATATATGTAATTCTTATTTGGAGGTCAGTGTTTGCTGTAAGGACGCATGTACCATTTGGATTGAAATGAAAGCTTAAAGCCCATGTTGGACTCTCCCTCATCCCAGTTTTCACACTGTATATTTTGTAATAGTTTCTGGACTTCTGTTGATTATCTGTGCATGAAGTTTTTTTTCTTGTGTTTTTGTCATTAATGTGTAATACACAGTTTTATAGGATTTGGTTTGTTTTCAGATCCCTCTTAAATTGAATCTTGTCCTCGTAATCATTTTCAATTTGATTCTGTTTACTTCCACCCCAGGCTTTGCTTACCATCTCTTCATATTTTTGTGCACTTTGGCTTTGCAGCATTTAAATTTGTATTGGGCTGTCAGCTGTAGCAGCATAGCAATGTCAGGCAGTGAGTTGAGTGAATATACTGAGATTATACTTCAAGGAGACTTCGTCTGAGGCCACTGATATCAGACTAGAATTATCTATTTTGATTGTGATCAGCATAAGAGTCAATTTTAATGTAGTGGATTTGCAATAGAAACTGTTTGGATATTCAGATTGGGCCATGGTGTATGAACACACAACATTTGTGAAGTGTGTTTTTGCTCTATTCAGTACATTTCAAGAGAAGTATGAAAGTCCCAAGTTACTTGAAAATGAGATGGTGTGAAAACATGGGGTAGGGGAAATTACAAATTAAATGCCAGTGATATTGTCTGTGGATGCACTTTGCCATGGGGAATATTAATTTTGTATTTAGGGAGGTGGGGTTTGTGAAATGTTGCATATCTATGTGATGCAGGCTGAGTAAGGAAGGCTTATAAGTAACACCTCACATAGGGTCTGAACATGGAATTAATCTAAGGACTAATGTGCGTTGTGGATTATCAGAATATTTTTTAGGGGATGAACTTCGTGAGGTGTATTGAGGACAATAGTAAAGTACCAAGGACATGTCAGTCACAGGAGAGGAATATTAAGATGGATGTTGGGAGAAATGGAGCCAAGGGGGGGGGGATCTGGGCAGGATTCTTTTATTATTTTTATTGGGGTGAGAGACCATTTGGCTACTTGTAGCGTATTGTACCAATCCTAGATGATGGTGATTGTAGAGAAATTGGCGGAACGAAGATTGGCAGGGGAAATCGATGTACTTTGAGAAAATCTGCTCTAGGGCCACTTTTGTGTCCACGACAAATCACATGTGATGAGACCTGGGAAACTAGCATAGGAGTTGCGTAGTTCAGAATAAGGAACAATGATTCTGTGAGAAGAATGCAGTGAGGTCGCGGGTGCCATGAAATGGTAATTTCTTCGGTCACTGAGCAGCTGTTTGTAGAGAGTCAGCACAGTGAAATTGGTCCTGATGTATGCCATCAGTGTAGAAATTCCGTACCTCTAGACCAGGCATGTCAAACTCAACTTGTACAGAGGGCCACCTCAGACCTATAAATAATAGTCCAGGGCTGCACTTCAAAATAAAAATATACATTAGATTTTGATACAAGAAATTTAATTCTATTTATTATTTAGGAATAATTTCAATATATTATTACCTAAAGTCACATATTTTACAGTTTTAAAAAGCAAGAGAATGCCATTTTTGACAAGTATCAAACAACTTTTCAATATGTAAAAAGAGAGATTACACAAGAAAATATGTTAGAAATAGCAAAACATTGAATTTCCTGTAGCCTGCTAATTTATGTCTGCCCGAGACTTCTTGTCTTCTGGTTTGCTGGAAAATTTTCTTTACAAAAAATATTTCTACTAAAATTCTAATATTGATTTTAATATCAATTAGCTCTAAAAGTTGAGGTGTGGCTATGGGGGCCTCATGTTTGACACGGCTGCTCTAGACGATAATGAATTTTGTGGCCATAAACATACAGGTAGGAGGTTATAACACGCTGTGGAGATTTCTCTGTGGTCAGGGACCATGCAACAGTGCAAATCAGTTGAAATTAAATTTTCCGTTGGTATAATCAAGCCTGTTAGCACATTTTTGCTGAAAGAAAATTCAGAGTTTCGGTCTAAGGCAAAACGTTTGCGCCAGGAGAAAAGGAGTGCCACGCATTGTACAGCGTATGTATAAATGAACCTCCCCCTTACTCACTCATGGAGCCGAGCCCTTCTGGAGGAGCTGCCAATTCTGCAGCCACTCAAGAATTGCCCAGAATTTTATGGAACCCAAAGGTTCATTACCGTGTTCACAAGAGCCCTCCAGTGGTCCCTATCCTGAGCCAGATCTATCCAATCCATACCATCCCATCCTCTCTCTAAGATCCATTCTAATATTGTCCACCTACGCCTTGGTCTTCCCTGTGGTCTCTTTCCACCTGGCTTTCCCACCAATATCCTATACGCGTTCCTCATCGCCCCCCATTCGTGCTACATGACCTGTGCACCTAATCCTCCTTGACTTGATGATACTAATTATACTTGGAGGAGAGTACACGTTATGAAGCTCCTCATTATGCAGTTTTCTCCAGCAACAATATTGTATTTGCGTTAGCAAAATTATGTGTTCTAGTTTTGAAATGCGGTTTTGTTACGTCACATCAACTGCTTTGTGCTCACGCGTGTATGTGTAGCTGCGTGATATCAAGGTTGGGCTGACACTTCGTTGCTTTCCATGAGGTTTTAGTCTCGAGTGTTCAGGTTTTACTCCACAGATGGCGCTAAGCGTTTATTTCATTTTTTCTTGTTCCCTCATGCAGATATAGCTTGGTCCTAACTGCTTAAATAGCTGCGTGATATCAAGGTTGGGCTGACACTTCGTAGCTTTCCATGAGGTTTTAGTCGCGAGTGTTCAGGTTTTATTCCAGAGATGGCGCAAGGTTTTTATTTATTTATTTTTGTTTAACTCCCGCTGATTTAGCTTGGTCTGAAGTGCTTAAATAGATGAGTGATAGGCAGACTGGGCTGACATTCAGTGACTTCCTATGAGGTTATAGTCTTGAGTGTTCAGGTTTTATTCTGCAGATAGTTCCAACTTTTTATTTTGCGCTGTTTTAGGTTGCTCCCACGTGATTGATCTGTAACGGCCGAAGTGCTCCGATCTAGCCAGTAATAACTATGATCGTCGTGGCCGAAGTATCCCGTTTTGGACAGTCCAGAATTTAAACTTCACTAGTAGAAGCGCATGCCGGTCTAAGGCATGTACTGTCTTTGCTTGCGTGGAAACCGGGATCGTGGGTTCGAATCCCAGTCAGGGCATGGATGTTTAGTTTGTGTGTGTGCGTTTTTCTGTGTTTGTGTATAGGTAGAGGCCTTGCGACGAGCTGATCACCAGCCCAAGGAGGCCTATCGAATGTGTAAGTTCTAGAAGATCTAGAAAAACAGAAGTGAACGGAGAAGTTCATGGAGGTAGGCCTAGGCCCACTGGGGCTGTAGTGCCAAGGAAAAAAGTGGAAGCGCATGCACAGTCCTAAATATTTATTCTTAAATGTAGTAATTACCAGACAGACTTGTGTAAAACCATAATAGAGGAATTAAATGGATACCTAAGTGAACAACAACAAAAAAGAATATATGTATGAGTTATGGCCAAACTCGTCCACGAGCCAGTACTTTTATTGCAGATTCTGCAGATAATTGTGTTAAAAATATATAGTAAAGTTTCAATGTACATATCTTTTGTGATCTGCTTGATGTATATATAGGCTGAAATGAAACTACAGAATTCGATGTCACTATGAACGCATAGAAAACAGATCGCACTCTGTATCTCAAGCACGATGCAACTGTCTGTTCACGACCTTAGAAAGGGCAATAATCTCTTGCAGCTATAACGGAAGGTCTTAGCACTGAAGAAGGGAACCCCCTAGCTTTCTCTTGAATAGCCATTCTTTCATTCTTCTTCACTCAAAAGATTCGAAAATCTGAAGAGTGTAAGCAGTGCTAGCAGAGGACCACATGATTTTATTGCTTCCATCTGTTTTATGACTCCAGGGACTGCTAAATTTGTCAAGTGTTACAAACAGAAACGAATTTATAATGCAGAACAAGTCTGTGAAGAACTGAGAAACCATCTTTGCAGTACTCATCAAAATTAAAAGACAAAAAATTGAAAATAGAGTATAATTTGTATACAAAATGTTAAGTCTTCCGTTATAATATGCGACACTATATTCTTTGCTGATAGAAAGAAAGTTAATTCCATCTATTTATCATAAAAATTAAGTTGGATACAGCATTTTTAAACACGATGCTTAAAGTTATTTAAACGCTCTAACAGGAACGGACATTTAAACGCAGAGTAGCAGCGGACATTTAAATAAACTCCGGCCAGCTCAACCTTAGCACCATTCAGAAGTCCGGCGTTTGAAGGTTAAATTGCTGAGTAATATCAAGGGTGGCCGGTGGTTTAGAGGTGAAGTGTATGGTTTAGAAGTTATGTGGTTCGAAGACATGACTACTTTTGTGAAAAAAAAAAAGAATGTAAGAAATTTGTGCATGTAGGAAGCTAGTGGTACTATATGAGGAAGGTGAAGTTAACAAATTTGTATAGATCTGGTGGTACGTGGGTAAGACATCGACGAAGTATTTGGAAGGTACGGGGTTCGAGGCCACGGTGTCTTTTGTCAATAGAAATTGAAAAGTGAATAAATAAATATGATTTTTCTGCAGCTATAAACCAAGTCGTATAATATAAGGACGATCGCAGAAAACAGTAGGATAGATGTTCTGGTGGTCTAGCGGTAAGGCACCGGCGTTGTAAATATAAGGTTCGTGGTTCGAAAACACATGTACTTTTGTAATGAGATTTTTATGGAATTATATAGCGACATGTAATATAAGAGGAAGATTAAAGCTCAAAAATTTCCGTGGCATCTGTGGCCTATTGGTAAAACACCGGCGTAGTGAACAAGAGTTCAAAACCAAGTATAGTTTTGTGATTTAGAAAGTAAGTTAATTCATTTTTCTGCAATTATAACCTAAGATGTAGCTTAAGAGGATGATTAAAGAAAATGAATTTCAGTGGTGCTGCTGGTTTTGGGGGTAAGACATCAGCTTAGTGTTCAGAAGGTCCCTGGTTCAAAACCAGTAGGATTTTTATGAAAAGAAAATTAAAAGAAGAAAACCAACGGAAGTGCAAGAAGTGAAGAGATAAGAGATAAGGTGTGGGGGGGCGAGGGAGGGTAGAATTTTTTTTTGCGTCCGCTTCATTAAGACACTCAACCTGAGCGGGTTTTATTAAAATCCACATGGGATCAAAAAGAAAAAAATTTTGGCCGACCATCCGCCCACCAACCACCCACCCTTAGGGGGTGACTTTGGCTTATTCATTTGAGACCAAATTCTATGAGCAAGAGTTAGCAAGAAAATGTAATATAACTACAGCGCATTCTGTTGACTAAAACCTCATGGAAAGCCACGAAGTGAAGTATACAATGTAACATCTTACTTTCTTATGAGCTCACTTACTGGGCTGTGCCAAGCCGCTCCTCCAAAAATTCATTTTTTAGGACTAGGGCGCAAGTCACTGAGGATGAGATCATGGAAGCATGGCAGCCAACACATGCCCACCCTTACGGTGATGCAGGATTGTCATCGCTCGATACCAAACTACATTAGCAAGAGTTAACGAAGAATTAATAAACACTGCAGAGCCATCTGTGGATTGAAACCTGAATGTTGATGTAATGTTGATTACATTACTCCACA